GGGGGGGGCACTCTGGCTCTTGATGATAGCATGACGTGCCGCTCCTACGCTATAGATTTTAGCGGATCGTTACCGAGCACTGATGAAAGCTGCGCGATAGGAAGCGCGCCGCTGTAATGTACCTGCCGGCCCGTGGGCACCCTCGGGCCCGGGGGCACCCAAGGGAGCACCCAAGGGAACACCCAAGGGAACACCCACCCAAAGAGGCATATCCACCTGGAGCCCTAGAGTGGGGAAGAAGAATATCAGATGTGGCTATGGTCTGGTCACAGTACGTACAGTCAATGTCACTGTGTGTGTATGTGTGTCGTTTATTAGACGCTGCAGTTCACTCGAGTTCACTTGAGGAATCGCGAGAAAATACAGTACTGCCTCGATCTTGGCTGGGGAATCGGGACGGGACTTAGCTTAGAGAGAACGGCCCGAAAGTTAGCCACATGTTGCAAGTCTGTTGTGACGACGCGCGCCCAAGCACCAGCCAGTTATAAATGCTTTGTCTACCGGCCGGACGGCGAGCTCGTGCGAGCTCGGCATGTTGTAAACCCCCTTCCGTAAGGAGTTCAGTTCAAATTCAAGTTCAAAGAGGGTTAAGACGTTCGGAAGTTCACATGAACTAAATCACTCGTAACTTGGACCGCCTCAAAAGTTCAGATCAGATCAGGCAGCTTAGATCGGGGCAATACTGCAGCTAGCATCACCCTTGAAAGGCACTATACATTGCCTTTGGTAACCTTATAAAATAATTACCTACATGCTAAATTGTTTTAGGTTTGCCACCCTTGGGACCCTAAACTAACCCAATCTACACCAAACCTGCAGTAGATAATAATTCATTTTTCACGCGCAGTCTGGCCCCGCATCCTCCAACTTACGTAAGTAAACACGTAAACCATTTCAAATATCACTTTCGTTCCTTCTCATCGGACACTCGCGAAACTTCGCAGGCTAAGTTCCGCATCTCTAAAACTAAAAATAAAACACTCGGTTTAACTATCTGACATTTTAATAACTGCTGAGAAGGTATCAAAGTCTTCAGGTGAGCGCAGGAGCCACTTGCGCTCCCCCTCCCCTCGAGCGCCGTGCTACCAACCTACCGCCACCAAACTATGAATTCAAATTAAACGATCGTTTATTTCAAACATCTAATATCAAACTTCTAAACTAAACTCGTTACGTCACGACTTATACTGAAGCTTCGTGCGCAGTTTGAAGTCGATTGAAGTTACCGTCTGAGAGAAACGTGGGCCGGTACAGACAGACAGACAGACAGACAGACAGACAGACAGACAGACAGACAGACAGACACACGACCAAAGAGTCCTCTGCACCCCACATCACAGCAAAGGCTTCGCAAGCTCAGCCAATAATTAAATAGGTCCTGGTACCTTCTCATGCTTCTCAGCGTAATGATTTTCTCAAGTGCATTGCGCGTGATCCTATTTTTTTTTGTATCTTTTTTCTGGGGGGGGGGGGGGAGCAGGATTTGCGTGAGATTGCTTTAAAATGTATAATAGGGTCAGTCAAATGTAAAAGGTCATGCACGCAAGCGGCATGACGCCTTTTGTATTCGTATCAAATCGCGACAGCGATCTGCGTTTGTTTCTGTTGCTAGTTTTTAGTGTTGTCTGTGTCTGCACGCCAGCCGGCCACTGTTGTACTTAACATGGATGTTGACCACAGCACAATAGTCCAATAGAGGAGGTGGCCGCGGGATGTGTCGCCGAGGGTTGTTTTATTCCAAGAAAACGTGTACACAGACACTGTGGAAAATACTCGTAACGTAAGGGTTACGGAAAAAGTTTCAATGATAAAAGTCGTAAATTTAGAATTTGAAATTGTAAATTTACAAGCACTGCCTGTCGACTTGGAATTGACCGACGAGCAAGAATGGTCTGTCGTAAATTTACGATATATTTTGTAAATCAAAATTACAACAAATGTCGTAAATTTACGAGGATATTTTTCACAGTGGAGCACTCCGTATTACACTGTATCGCACTGTATCACACGGTATTACGATATAACAGCTAATATTCCGCAATTTCCTTTCTAGTGCCGCGGCGCCGCGTATCTGCTGGTATTCCGGTGATCCAACATGTCGTTGGTACTCGTGCCCCTCCTAGCACTTATGTGCCAGGGGGGCATCCACGGCAAAGGCATCAACTCTTTGATAGTAAGTTACATTTTACCTAATGCTCTCACGACTGGAAAAACAAAGGCATGTAGGTGCTAAGTGGTGCGTTTTCAGGGGTGTCAGAGGTCTTTTCAAAAGAACCCTGTAGGTGCCAAAAAATGGTTCTTTTGGCAGTTTTAATACATTCGTAAAGGCACTAAACAATTCGTGCCCTTTGTTTTTTCAATGCACTGAACACGAGGGGTGTGGAACTGGCCAAAAAAGTGTACAGATGATTGTGTCCAGACAGTCATTTTCAGATTGTGTATGACTGTTGTGATTGTCTCGATGATTGTTTAAGATTTTCTGATAAATATTCTGACATATTTTGTAAAATTCTGTGAGATTGTGACTTGATTGTGTGATTGTTTTCGATTTGTGTGTGATTGTGTCCGATTGTCTCATGATTGTTTCTGAATGTTTTTCCCGATGTACACATATTGTGTCCAGTTCCACACCTCTCGACTTAATATTTAGACTATTTTGTCAAAAATGTGCCTTTAACTACGCTAAACAACATGAATTTGTTAAAATGACATTGCCTCGATGTCACTGGGACGTCGCTGGATGCTTTTCTTAAAGTTTCGTATATCTCTTTCGAATAGGGCCCTTATATTGCTTACACCGAACGCTTTTACATGTGTGAAGATAACAACACCCCGCTTCCCTGGAGATGGAATTTGCGTGTTTCTCACTTTAACCCACTTAAACCAAAAGAGCTACAACGCCTGACAGGTAACCTCACGGGCGCAACACCTTTTGATGACAGCTGCTGGGTAAGAAATTGCAAATATCACAGTGTGACATTACACCAAACAATAACACCAATGTTTGTCACAACAGAGTAAAGTAATTCTGGATACTTGGTCGAACAACCAATGGAAGGAAAACGCCTTTAGGGCGAATTTCAAGAACAATGCATGTAAAGCTCTTAAAGAACATATTCCTGGATTTTACGAGAAGATTTCGAGGATGGAAATGAAAGACGCGTGCATGCTGAAACCTGTACGTACTTAGACTGCTCTGGCCATACTTGTACGGTCATTTGGATTTTTCCTCACCTAATGTTCTTTTTTCGAAAAAAAGAAAAGAAAAAAAAAATAACGATACGTATTCCACACAGATTGTAAAGCGGCTTCAAACACAAATGAATTATAAATGTGAGAATTGTAATGGCTTCTATTTACAGGGAGTGTACGAGTTCAATAACACATCAGTAGACTGGACTTTTCCAAAATTTGCAATCATGCCGTATGGACACTATAGGTTCAGACTCTTGGTTGGCAAAGCTGAACGCCGACTCGCATGCTTCGTGGTAGAATGTAAGATTATTCCAAAATCCTTATAACTATACTATGTTCTTGGTTATATTTCAATGTTCTCCACATCAAACAAACTCTGGCAGCTTTAGCGCGGGGTCGAAATATATGCTAGAAAATGGACTCAACAATATCGTTTTATTAATGGAAACTACCTGCATTCTGACAGCCTTGGAGACCCATCACGCTTGGACCCCCTGACCCAGAGAGAGAGAGAGGGAGCAGGGACTTACGTACGCTCGAGGTACGCTTCGTATACAATACACTTCGTGCACAATGACAAGCCTTTTAATACTCCCGTTTTGCCACTGCAAGCAATAAGCTTTAGTCAGCGTGTCCTCCTCTTTAGAGCGGCCACCACGGGCGCAGGGGGGTTACTTTTACGTTTCCAGTGTGTGGGTGCGGCGGCGCGGTGCCCCCCCGCGGATGCCCATCGGGTGCCTCCCGGGTACCTGCCGGGTACCTCTGCCCGCCCCGGTCCTAAATCACAACCCCCGCCTCCCGCGCGGCCGCGCCCGCAGCAGACTGCATGACCCCCCCGAGACAGGTAGCCTCCCCGCGCGGCCTCCCCGCGCCATTAAAATATTAATAACAAACTGCCTAATGGAGCGTGTGATTTACGCCACGCTTACGCTCGGGCTTACGCTTGTGCAGCGCGAGCTCGGCGCAAGCGATGCGCGCTTTTACGAGAGAATCTAGCGAAGGCCGGGCCGCGCGCCCTGGCCTGCTGGCCGCGGCGTTTAGAAAGGCGGGGCGGGGCGGCCGTGGGAAGAGGAGCGCGCTCCACACGAATTGGCCGCCCCTCCGCTCGCTTTCACCCTTTACGAGGGGAGGGCCGTGTGTGTAGTACGCCCGTTAAGTGAACCGAGACGAGTTCACCGCGCACTCCAGGGTAACAAGTAGTAGTGTGCTCCCCATCAGCGAAAAAAGAAAATCGTTAGCACCGAGCGATATGTAAAATCTTTTCACTTCCTCACTAACGTACCTCATGCCAAAAATTTTAAGCGCGTCTTAAGTCAGTGCACTCTCAGACCTGTACTGATTTATTTATTAGTAGCTAATAAAGGTTTTTATGCAGCAGGAATACTGGCAAGGGGTGAAAAAAATCAGTTACACGATGAGAGTGCGCAGTCGTGAAGTAGGAGTGGCAGCGATAGTTTTGGCGAAGAGTTTTATTTTTAGTTTCATAGAGGAAAACAAGTCGGAGGAGAACCGCACGCAGAGCGGAAGAGAAGAAAAAAGGGACTGTCTCAAAAAAAAAAAAGTCTCACTCAAGAAACGTCTTTCAACAACGCCACCCTCTGCCTGGATGACAAAAGCCAATTTTCGTGCTCGTTTTCACTCGTTGTCGCCCGTGTGACCGGATGCTGCACGCAGGCGCGCGCACGCACAAGCAGCGCGCACACATGTGTGGGGGTCAAGGGGTGCGGTCCGCAAGTGGGTCATCCGCCGTGTGAGTAGTGTCTGTGTGACAATGTCCCGCTGCATTCCTGGGCACGCACACTTGTGTGGCCCCTCGCGGGGACTAGACCACCGCCGCCGCGGCCCCGCCCCGCCCCGCCCCGGCCAAGCCCCGCTGAAGCCGCGCGCGCGGAAAGTTCCCGTAGGGTGATAATGCCGGGATGATTGGACCGTCCAGTGGGAAGTGAAGGGGTGAGGATGGAGGGGGGAGGTGAGGGGGATGCGCTGACAGATCACTTACACTGTGCCGGGTGGATGGATTGTCTGGAATTTCGAACATACCGTAATTGAAATATGATTGACGAGTCTGGGCGTGGAGTAGTGTCGGTGGCGCCCCCAGCTGCTGCTGCCGCCGCCGCCGCCGCTGCTGCTGCTGCCGCTGCCGCTCCCGCCACCGCTGCTGGCTGATCGTTCGTTGCCCTTGCGGAGCATTTTTCTTCCCTCTTAATGAACTTGTCTCGCAGAGGGGCCTGGGCGGCGGCGGCGGGGGCAGCGGCCGCGCCGACCGGGTCGGGCCGCGAGGATCGAGGTTCGACTCCCCGTCTGCTCGACCTATGGCTCACCTCGCCCTCCCCGTCCCTCCCCTCCCTCTTCTCCTTTTTTTCGAGCTCCAATTCCTTGGGTTGAGCTGTCGCATTCTCACACACCACTGTCCTGCGGGGCCGGGCGGGCCCCTCCGGGCCTATAATGTCCCGACGAATGCAGTCGCGGAGAAAGCACTGTGATCAGCGCCGAATCAAGATGGCATTGGTCCATTCGGTCCCCGCGGCGGCTGCTGCGCCCGCCGTGCACCGCGGCGCCTTATGCAACCTTGTAATGGATGGCTTTGGGAAAATGGCGTGTCAATGCCCAAATCACACTCGTATCGGGCCGCGTATATCGGGCTAGCAGCCGACAGGTTGGCACTGCCCCTCCCTCGTCCCTCTTTCTCTCTCTCTTTTTCTCTCTCGCTCTCTGGCTCTCTCGCTCTGTGGCTCTCTCGCGCTCCCCGGCTCTCTCGCTCTCCGACCGCGGTGCTGTTCCTGAGTGCAACCTTGGTGGCGCCCGCTACGCCGCGCCTTGCACACCGCACTGTAATTATCACAGCCTGTCTTATCGCGAGCGGCATCTGTTTGGAGAGTCTTGCGAGGGAGGAGCGGTGGGGAGAGAGAGGGAGAGAGAGAGAGGGGGGGGG